ACTATGTAGATCAATAGCATATGTGAGAATGGAGCCTAAGACCCTTTTCACATTGAGTGGTATACTAATATTTTAGGGATACAACTGGTACACTTTGAGATGTCTTATCATGTAAAAGGGGGGGGGTCAAGGATTTAAAACGTGGCAAATTAATTATAATAATAAGAATTGTAGAGAATATGTGGATAGGAAATTGATTTTCTCTTTTGTTGTTCATTATAGGTTTTTGTTATACTTTATTTAATTATTTTTATTTATTTATTTATTTTATTTTTTTTTTTTTTTGGGGGGGGGGAGAGGGGGAGTGCCCCTAGAGCATGGAACCATCTGTGCCCCTCCCTGGCACAGCTGTCTTGGTGATATTGGTCATGACCCCAGACAGGTGAGGTTCCAGTCCACCTCAAGGTGACAAACTTCTTCCTGCTTTATCTTTATGAAGAGTGCAAAAACACCTTTTATTGCCTGTATGAATGCAGACAATTTGGCTTGAAGCTTGAAGACCTTTAGGCGTTGTTTATATTTATGATGAATTGTTGTTAAGTCTTGTACCAATGAATGGAAATGACGTTGTTTGTGGATATATATATATATAGTCTGTTATTATCCCCACTCTCATACATCCTGCTCTTATCTTTACAAACTGGATTAAGTATCAAGTCCACTTCTGGTCACTTGAATTTGCTCCTTTTGGTTTTGAAAAGATATTTCAAAGTGGAAGCTTATCTTTGGTAATTAGTGGCATGTCTGCACATATTGAACATTACAAAATGGAAACTATATCATAAAGACTTAGTAAAAACTAATATAAGCTCCTCATTCAGGTTTCGACACTCTGTATAATTTTAAAGATTTAATACATAATTCTGAAATGTTCTATCTAAAATAATCAGTTACACATTTTGAAGTATATTTATTATGTTCCTAATTTTACTACTGACTTTTACAATATAACAGTTGCTTGGTCATTTGATTATACTGGCATTGTTTCCTTTAAATGCATGGAATCTGAGAGAAATATTGCTTCTCTGTACCGTTTTCCAAATAAAGACATACTGGCACTGTTTCTGTTTAATAATTTTAATAATTGTCAACAAACACAACTGAATACAAACCATTGTATACACCCTAAAGATACTGACCATCCATGTATGATGTATGCAAGCGGAATAAGTTGAGCGGTTCCTGCTGCTTTATCAACCCTTACCTTCCATCACATTGATTGACAGGCCTGCAGTGATTAAGAAACACTGTAACAAATCAGCCAGACGCAGTTAATTAGTGTTTCCTAATTGACGTAATTTGTGAACTAGTTGGGCATTAAATATCCCATAAGGCACATGGGTCAGTAACAGGATGCATAGCGGGACTGTTAATTATTTCCATTTATGAATTATTAATTCAGGCATGAAATTGGCTAAAGTGGTGTTCTTGGCTGGGGTGGTAAACATCAGGCAGGGGAATAGGTTTTTAACGATACTGTGATATATTGCACATGAAAGAATAATATATGGATTGATTGATGAAGGGTTTGTGTGGTGTGTTTTGGTCCTTGGAGAATTCTGTGAATTGGTCATATATCTGGCAATATAAGTGTGGATGATGTAGATTGTGCAAGTTTTTTTAATAACTTTTCACAGTAAGTTATATGCATTTCATTAAACTTTAGAGGACTCAGTGAAGCCAGTATTTGAAATATATTAATGAGAGAGAGAAAATTGAAGAAAGAAAAATAACCAAATGAATTTTGAAAACAAGGGGGTAATGAAAGGTGTTGACGAATTAACATAGCAAATTTGCTGCAAATGAGGTTATCAACTTGATATCTTTTTACAAATATAAGTATTGAAAACTGGTGATTAAAAAATCCAGAAGTGATGAATGAATTTTAACTTTGAAATTCCCTTGCCTACTTGACTTTATTGACAGACCACTCAGGCATGTATTGGTTTAAGAAAATGACTGCCTCCATGCAGGAAGCTCAGATTACCCTTTTTTGAGTTTGCAATTGTCATCTTCTGTTGATCTTTATTTCAGTAATGAGATCAAGTCAGGCATTGTGTTGAGATAACACGATGTCATTTTACTGTTCAGTTTGCAAAGCCACTGGATGATCAAATGCCGAGCCTTGTTTTTCTGTCTCCTCAGATACGATGGCAGCAAATATTTACCCCCCCCCCTCCTCCTCCCCCTCCTCAGTGAAGAGATGGTAACTGATATTACAGTGACCGATATTCTATGTAGTTTTTGTTTATTGTGTCTTAGTTTATGTTGGGTCAAGCCTTTATCCGCTTTGTTTGACCATCAGATATAACTGTTATCTAAGGCCATGATTATGCAATTTTGATTTCCTGCTTTAAGATCGAATCGATTTTTGCCTCAGTTTTGAGTGGACGGCAAAAGGATGTGCTAGAACTTTGACATTTTGCCAGCTTGGCCTTGGGCCGGTTCCAGTTTTAGTTGACCTTCTTTGATAGTAAGTTGTTAGTAAGTTGAATGGTGATCATCTGTAAAAATGTTAAAAATAGGCAGTAATTTTAAGTGGTTTGTTGTACTTATATAGTGTAGCAATATTTCCTTCCTAATCACCAAAGAACTGATTTATTTTTTCCATGAAGAAGTATTTGCTGAATCCAGTTCCATTCAATAATACTTTATCCACCAAATGATTCATTAAAAGTGAATTCTCTTATAATACATTATTCCAGCGACATTTATCCATCATCTCAAATGGCCCCCATATCTTCCAAATCATTTTCTAATCTAAAAAGGAATTCGCCTCAATTTGTCAAACGACTCCCTCATGTGTACAGACCATTGCAGCAAATGGTCAATATTTGCTGAGCTCGATTGTGAGAGATTAGGAACGAGGGTCAGGCAAACATAAACACTGCATATTTCATTCATAACTCCCTTCTTTCCCCTTCAGTCGATGGGTCAGCTTCAATCAATCAGGCTGTTCATTGATTTTCGTTTTTTGTCCCGCTCGGGTTTTTTTCTCCTTTGGATCAGTTTTGATCAGGATTGCTGTGCTTCTGGATTCAAGTGAGTATTTATGATTGATTTGTGGTAGATTTTTTCATCTGTGGTTGTTGGGGCAGAATGTTTTCAGTTATTTAGCACACAATAGCCACCTATTAAGTCTTACAGATTGTTTTGAAATGGTTTCAGTTGAAAAGGCCATTTTTTGAGGCACTTGATGTAAAATTTGATTTTAATTTAACAAATGTTAGTTTTAAGACTTCGAGTGAATTTGCCCAAATGTTACTGCCTATAGGAAATGGTTAATTGGCATTTGGACACACTCCTGTCTATGATAATATAAGGCTTAGAGTTAAAAAATTATTTTACATGGGTTACCATAGTAATATACAACTGATGCAGATTTCATGTCTGCTTCAGAAGTTAGTTGTGTTGTGTGAATATATAACAAACTGATCATGATTGTGGTCATTACGTTGTTGTTCACTTCTGTTTGTACACACACACACACACACACACACACACACACACACACACACACACACACACACACACACACATGCGCCATCAGATAGTTAAACCTGACTTGGCATTAAAGGCAGCTATTTTCATACCATCCTATAATTATATTGATTTGTTTTCCCTAGCCTTATTTATCAGTCAATTTATAAAACTAATTTGCTGAATTCCTTAAATGTCCACGGTGGCTCTGACCTTAGGGACAATTATTCTTGACACCCTGAATTTTGGGGTCTGTTGGAGGCTCCTCTCCCGTCAGCTCAAGGACCGATGCAGTGTTAGAGAGATTGTACTGGTTAGAAGCAAATTATTTATAAATGAGAAGTTTGTGCCCTATAATATAAGGTGCTAGAGAGCATAAACTGGGGAAAACGTAGTCATGGTGAGAAATCTGATACTCAGGGTGATAGAGAGTGTGGGCTTAGGGCATATGGCAAAGTAATGGTCTGTACCAGTACCCTGAATTTCGAGGTTTTTGGATTTACCAGGACTTTTTTTTTTTTTTTTTTTTTTTTTTTTTTTTTTTTGATATATGAATTCAAAACCTGAATTAGATATAAAACATTATAAGAAATCAAGAGTTCAATTATCTCGGTTATGGACTCATCACTCGCCCAAGGCAGATCTCAGATATCAAATGTCACAAATGTAAGTATGGCTTATGGTGACAACTGTGAAAATTTCTTTGGTATGTACTAGCAAGCCACAAAAAATAGACCTGGAATAAAACAGAATATCCTGAGGCCCCATTCAATTTCCTCTGACATTTAAAATAAGTCATTAAGTAAGGCTGACTAAAGGAGCTAATTGTCCTTTCAGGTGATTCTTAGTGAAATGCAACTTAGTTGGCTGATATTCTTAAGTCTTTGCTGAGGCTAATTTTCCAATTTAGCCATTTTGAGAAACAGCGAGGGTCTCAGAACTGGAGGTTTTTGTTATTTCTTAAAACTGCAGTTTGTGGCAATTAATGCATTAAAAATTTTGTGCTTCACTGACTATGTATATTATTTATGGAGTTCCATCTGAGGAGTCCCGTTTATTTACCACAGTTGTGTCTTTCAATAATCTAGTCTCATTGTGTTGAACAGTTAGGACAGTTATCTCAGATGTAATTGCCATTGAATGTGTCGTTAATTTAAGTGTAGAGATGAGTTTCTGGTTGATTGTGCTGTTGTGACCAAGAGTTCACCTAACACAATGCTTATAGTTCAATGCTCTATATTACCTTGAGCATAGACTTCTTGACCAGTACAACCAAGGCAATAAAAAGTTTTTCATTTTTGACTAGAATTATTTCATTTAGCTGTGAGAAAATTTAAATTAATTTAAATTGGCAATAGTAGTCCAGAGGTAGTATGCAGCCTGGCAGTCAAGCTGTATCAATTTATTTGTTTGTTTGTTTGTTTGTCTCACTTATATCTCCTAAGGGCCCTTGCAGCACCGTTAACTTAAATGATATGGAGTATAGTGCACCACTGATGTTAGTGTTCTTGTTGTTACAGAGTGTGTATGGCAGATTGCCTGGCATAGCAGAACTTGACGAAGACGACAACGAGGAGGAAGAGGAGGAGGAAGAAGATGCTGTAACTGAGGAGGTGGGTTTTGCAATTCATCTTCTTCAAGGAAATACTGTACAAAAAAAAACTATGTGAAAAGTTGTAACCCCCTCTTCAAAGTAAGTGACAAGGCCAGATATTTTTACTATGTACCTATCTGTTTTATTGCACATCCCCCAACCCCTACTCCACAAACACACACTTTACCAAGAGCCCTATATTTCATCTTTGCACCTATTTATCAGAAATTCCACATATCCTTTTCTCTCCGTTTTGCACAGGTGATTCACAAGTGCATGTCATTATTGCTTCTCTGGGAAATAGTTTACCAATCAGAGCAGTGGAGAAGCTATAAGGAAGTGTAAATTATAGATAATATATGTAACACATTGTTTCCAGGAAGAAGCTGCAACTCTATGATGAATTATTTTCACTCCAACAAACATCTTGTCACTGTTTACAAACTGTTTGTTGGGTCCTATCAAATGTATGGTAAACTAGAAAACTTGGATTACCCACAAGTTGATTTTGATACAAGAAATGGGTCAAAATGTTAAATTCAGAGATCAACGAAAGTACATAGCATCGAAAGTTAGAACAAAAAAAAAAATAATAATAGGATAATAATAATAAAAGGTTCATGAACAACTTGAACATTTCTCAGTGAATCTAATAGCTCTGTCTGCCACATAAATGCAGAATTCTAAATCATATTATGCTACCAGTCCAGCCTATTAATATGTATGTAAGTTGTGAAACGCAGAATGCTATTACCCGCTACTCAGGCTCAGCAGTAATAAATTTTATTGTCGATATAAAAAGAATATAGGCATGTTTGTTCTCTCCCATCACACATATATCAAAGGTGGATGCCCCTAGCTGGACTGATTTCCCACAAGGCACCTGTTATAGTGATGTCTTTTTTTCTGCAAAAAACCATATACTTCATGTTTTTTAAGATGCACACATGTGGAAATGACACTTAGCTATTGATCACAGTATTTCTCAAGATGTTGACAAAAAATGTAGATTTTGTGAAAATGTGAAGGGGTGTTTACTTAGTCATCGTGATTTCTCCTCTTGACTTGAGGGGGTTTGTATAAGTCTTTATTAACACAGGTCATATGTTGCAAAGAATTATAATTTAAGAGGGACACAAGATTTTAAAAAGCACACTTAAAACTGTCACAAATTGGTCATATGGTTTATAAGTAGCATTTATTGGGAGGAAATTGCAGTTGTATGAGTGAAAAAGAACACTTTGCTGTCAAAACTTCATTTTGGTTATATATATATATATGTGGGAAATCACCTGAAAATATTTAATAAGGGATTTTGACTTGAATTATGCGCTTCTAGATTTGATCCCATTAAATTTTATTGCAGTGATTGAATAACGCCTTCAATTACTAGAGTCTTATTGAGAAATAAGAGAGGTACTCGGTGACCTCGCTGTGAGGGGGCCAGGGAATCTTTTCATACTTGGCAGAGAATTTTATCAGCTGTATTAGAGGCTACCATAACACCTATGGCTGTATTCTCTGATGATTGTCTCTTGTTAGACATAAGAGTGTCAGAGTGGTAATAAAAATAGAGTTGCAACGAAATACTTCATCAGTTAGATGTGAATAGATGGAAATTTAAGTCACACAGTGAGTGTTAGGCCGAGTTCACAACCAGTTGATACGCGAACTAATTAGTCCGCAGATCATATAAGGCATGCCCTTCACAATTGATTCCTGCCTTCATTGCGCTCAGGAAATTATTTTCTTTAATTTTAGCAATTTTTCCTTTGTCACCAATTAAGGCATGACAATCACAAAATATTTACAAATAACTATGTAGACTTCTTCTCACCCTAAGTTTCTAAGTTTTGATCAACTTGCATATTGAAAATGGTATTCAAATTTTGTTTGTGATGGTAAAATTAAAAATTGAGAGCTGTAAATGGTAATTTCCTTGATAATTTTGGACAAGGTATACCTTGGTGATTAATGGGAAAATGCTAAAATTTCCAGAAAAATTTGGGCAAATTTTCTGTTTGCTATATTAAGGTTTACACACCCTGTTTGCCTTTGCCAACAGGTTCTGAGGACACTTTTAACATGTCTCTGTGAGAAACAAGCGTTGATCTAATTAGAGTATCTTGATTGGTGCAAATGTTCTCACTGCTATGTCTAAGTGAGGTCTAGTATTTCACAAAGACATCAGTGTCCCTCTTTCCATCTCCAACAGTTGTCTACCCCAACTGCAGACCTAAAAATGATGACTCATTTCCCAAAGAACCACTTTATTCCCAAATGTCACTTTTGATTGCTCAACCTCAATCTCTTTCTTTATCCCTATCCAACAGGGGGATTTACATGTATTTTTTAAAAGCTTTTGTAACAAAAACAGTCTTCATTTTTTTATTGCATTTGGGGTTTATTATTTGTTAGCACTACCCCCATGCCCAGAACTTCAGGGTGCCTGTCAGACTGCAAGCCGCCTCTTCTACCACACATTTATTTTAACCAAACAGATTTAACCTTTCCCCTCACTCTTGCTCCGTAGTTTACACCTCTCTCTGACAGGAGTGTTAATGTTCCACGATTTGCAGACAACTCTTTTTGAGTTGTGGCATTGCTGAGAGATAAACTAGCAGTAATCTTAGAACATTCTTGTCTGCTGAGTAGTCGCTTGCCTCTTGGATATTTTTTAACCTCCCAGGGAAGTTCATGATTAGCTATAACACTGGATAGTATCAGCCGGCTGGGTGGTGGGAAGAATACTGCATAGAGGAGTTGTATATTGGCTGAAGTAAGATAAATAGTGTGTGTGTGTGCGTGTGCGTGCGTGCGTGTCAGGCACTGGTTTAAAGGCAGTATGTAGTTATCAGAAAGTGCTTGTGTTATTTAGCATGTTTCCAAACATAAAAGAACAACTGAAAACAAGTTATCTTAGAATACATCTATGCATAAATAGGTTTACTTGGGTAACTGTATTGTCTGTCTGTCTATCTGTCTCAAGGTATATTTAGCTCTAAATTGTTTTGCTTTGATAACATTTCATAAGAATTTTTTTTTACTTTGCATTAAGTGGATTAATTGTGTTTTTTGAGATTGAACAATTCTATCAAGATTGTGAAATAGACATTTAAAAAACAGGTTATAGAATTTTTGCTGTGTAATCTCTTTATAGATTGCTAGAGTTAAGTTCTTTTCATGTTCAAGGTCATGCTTTTTATTATCAGGTCTATCAGCTCTTCCCTTTTAGAAACTTCTTGCACACTTTATTTTTTTTCACAACAGAGAGTCTGTCTGCCAACATGACCTTTCCATTTTCATCATTCATAAGAACCCCTGACATAATTTATGGTACCTAAGAATTTTGTATGTTGTATTTGCTGTTAAGCAGGAAACATTCTACAAAAGAGAAAGTGAACAAAATGGTCTGAAAGCATTTTTGTGTTTACCGTTGCTAGGAGATAGATGGTATGGAGGCTGCAGTGTAGAGAAATTTATTTTGCCAGTGTGAGCTGTGTATATAAATATAACAACATGTGGGGCCTGTATGTTTCATGTACTTCTGGGACTGTATTATTTTTTAAGACAAATAAGTACCTCAATGTTTCATTTTGCTGAAGTGCTGCCCTTAATCTACATTTGACAATTTTTTTAAAGTGCACATCTCATTTGTGTAAGTGAAATTGAGCAGATAATGAACTTTCTAAATTCCTCTTTCCACTTTCCAAACTTTCCAAATTTATAATCTCCCAACAGCACCCTAATAGATGAAAGAATAATGAATAAAAAATCAAATCAAATGTAAAAGATAAAAAATATACCCGGGTACTCCATCATCTTAATCTACTGCTACAAACAGTGAAATGCTGATTCTTAGTAATTATATAAAAGAAAGGCTGGACTAAAATCTGCATTCAGAATATGAAATCATGAAACCATTACTGACGAATAGTTATGATATATAAACATCACCATTTGGAATGAACTTAAAAAGTGATGTTATGTGTTTTCCCATTCACATCATTATACTGGTAGTAGTACAGTACAAAGCACAGGGTGGTAGATGGACTCGTACATGCACACTTTAGGAAAAATCTCAGCAGGCTCCTTACGTCATAGCTGGCGGAGAGATATTTTACTGATTATTCACCATCTTCATTCAGCCAGCCATGCAATTCTCCCTGCTGATTTATTGAATCTGTTAAATTATTCCACTAAGTTGGGGGATGTTTGAATAACAAAACCCATTGACCCAAGAGAAAAAAAAAGATGTGTGAAATCATTTTTGTGAATTGCACCCTGTGGAATTGCGTTGATCAGTGCAGAGGGTTTTTATTTCAACATCAGCAAAAAAAAATGTGTTTATCTCTTGTCAGGCCAGTGGAATAAGTAAAAGACTTTGTCTCAAGCTAGTTTGGCTTAGGATTTGAAGTTTGAGGATTTGAAGTAAAAATATTGGGGAGGGGAGCGGGGCCAGAAAGGCTGTACTATAGTATATATTTAGATTCATAGAAAGGAATACTTATTTAAGAATGTTGTTTCTCATTATGATGTGAAAGTTCTCTCTTAGTGCCCGTGATAAAAAAAGTTACAAAACAAAGACAAAATATAGACATGGCCTGCCAGAAAATGATCACGCAGCTTGACTTTTTAACATAAATAAAACATGTTTCTCCAAGGTAGTACTGTGACTGAAAAAATACTTTATAGTCGACATTAATTCTGTTATGGCCTCATACCTCTTTTGTCAACTTGACAGCCGTTAATCATCTGTTTTCACCATTTTGTTTTTTATGCAGTGATTATGTAGCACACTGTGCAACTCTTACCCCAAAGTGGCTTCTCCCCCAGTTGGTGCCACATATTTATTTTTATTTACCATGTGTAGCTACTCCTCCTTTATTAGATTTAGCAGAATTAAAGTGCCTAAGATTTGTAGTTACATTGCAATTTTCTGAACCACTTTAGCATTTGAGTTTGACAGTAATTTGAACTTGTTGCAATTAGATTTTCACAGCGCTGTCTTTGATGATCATTTTGCAATGAATCTGTGCATTTGTACTGAAGTTACCAATTGATATCAGAAATTTTGTGATATATACAGACTTTACGAAAGGCCAAAAAATCTGTCAGACATTCGGTCTGACAAGCTTGAAAATTCTGTCAGACCGAAACAAAATCTGTCAGACCGAAGTAAAATAATAAAAATATGAACCATTATTCATCTTTTCATGTGTATTTTCTAACGTTTTAAGTCATTGACATTAAATCAATTATTAAATTTTTGATATATATTTATTTGTAAAAAGGTAAAATAAGAAGAAAAAAAAATAGGCAAAAAAATTACTTGCATAACAAGTTGCTTTTTATTTAATGAAAAAGATGCTGTGGAATGACACAAGGACTAAAAACAATACAAGTATGAAGAATGTGTAGCTAGTAATATCAAATGTATACATGTCCATAAAAACGTCTGTTAATCAGATAACCATTTCACACATTGTTTTTGGCAATAACATATGCATTTTGAAACAGCACAATTGAAGCTTTGACAGGGACTGTCCGGTCCGAGTCTAAGTTTCTTCTTCATTTTATTTCTTTTTTTTATAAAAAGAAACTCAAACTGTGAGCTTTCATCAAGTTCATGTACACTTTCTCCAACTAGTGGTGAACGGTACATGCAAATACGTACATATGTTCCATAATTTAAGAACCCGTAATAAAGCTGTAACATTTATGTTGTTATTGATCAAAATGATAACTTTAGTATTCCTGACACTCGGCACACACTATTTTCCTCTCCTACAGACCATAAGTCCGCCAGGGCCTACCTTCTTTCCAATTTTAATAAACTTCCGTTTCTCTTCCTCACTTCATTTTCATTTTTGCCACGCTTTGCACCAACGAAGTGTTTAAAGTTCAACAACGTCATTTCTAAGCAAAAGGCTTATGCATGAGTACTATGTACGACTGATAATGAAGAAACAGAGGATCAAGTCTGTAAAAACGCAAATAGCACGAGCACATGTGTTGCGGCCATTTTGTTGTGTAGGGGTATTACGAAAACGAAAACGAGACTGTACATTACATCATTTAGGAATCCCCCAACCTCAGCCAGTCACAAAATAGTATTTGTGAGTGAAACTGAGGTTAATAAATTATGTATAATTACTTAGGAACTCCCCGAGATTTTCACCCCGTCTCTCTTTTTGAATGAAGTAAAATATATCGTCCAGAAAAGAAACAACAACGTATTCCTTATATTTACACATTCCCAGTCAGTTTGAAAACTCGCCGGACATAAGGTCCGACGATACAGGATTTTTTATCGGACCAAGACGAAATTTGCCAGGCATGTCCGACGGTCCGACGCCTTTCGTAAAGTCTGTATATAACATTGTTTGGTATTGTTACTTGCAAAAACAGTTTTTCCATTTATTGGTATTTTTTGGGTGAAGCTGGGGATGTTTTTTTATTATATGAACTCTTATTTTAAATTTCAGAACTGGGAAACCACCTTAAGGGCCTCGTTAGAAGGACTTTACATCCCATATGCCAGTGTAGAGGGAGTCTTGGTCAGCCAAGTGAAGCAGTGTGTAGATGAACAGTTTGATGGGAACTGGGATCAGTTCAGACAGGAGTTTCTTGGGCCCACAGTAGAGCTTTTAAGGAAAATCAAAGCTGCTGCCAGGGTAAGCATTTTCCGCACTCCCCCCTCCCATAAGAATAGTAATTATGTGAAGAATAATTCAATAATTGGTATGTTGTCTACTTTCAGATAGAGGTTTTCTTTATCAGGGCTATGTATTCTAGATGGTACCTGTAAAATGTTGTTTGATTTTGCAAATTCTGCCATAGTACGTTTGAAGTAGAAGGGTTTGTAATATGACGGAAGAGGAAGGTTGTTAACTGCTGAGGCTCCATACACTAATATTGCATATACCCCAGATTGAGGCCATTGAAGGCACAAAAGGCTAATCTTGTAGGCAATAAAGTTGACTTTCTTAAACCAGAAAGTTAAAAAATGAAAAAATCGGGGCTTAATTCTTGGCAGCAAAACTGCGATTATCAGCTCAATGTTGGGTAAGGGGGATTAGCTTGATCTACAGGTTTTAGCCAAATTGCTGGGCAACTGGATGTTATCGGGAGCTGTATTTATACTGTAAATCTAAACTTGTATCACACCAAGGTGATTGAGATTAGAGAGCAAAAGTGAACAAGTTTGGACAGAGATGCAAGGCGCGCGTTTGACAGATGTATGTCGAAAAAATAGTCGTCCTGGGGAGGTCGCGCAATAGCCAACAAAGTCCTGACTTTTATGGAGTTGGGACAGGAATTGATGAAGGGAAAAAATGGAACAAAGGGGAGAAATTTGTTCTGGATTAAAACTCATAAATTTGGGTGTCAGCTAGAGCAATTTGAAATGTGAGAATGCGACGGGCTGTATTTCTGATGTTTGCCTTGAAAAAGTACTTCCATTCAGCTCACATGTACTGAAGCAGTACATCAACATTTGTTTTTTCTTGTCTCAAAGTGAAATGTGTCAGTTAATTGTTTTGATTTATTCCTTTTTTAGTCCCCTTTTCTTTGCCATTTTTCCCTTGTAACTTGACCATTTTAATTGGTCAGTTGATAAAACGAAGCAGTTCTGGCCAGTAACATGCAGACAATCAATCCTTTTATTCTTGAAAAGTATTTTATATGTGTCTATCATGTTAGTTTTGTTATAATTACTGTAGATTTTGATTTATGTTTTGACAGTAATTACAGTAGATTTTGATTTATCCTCGCCCACCCTTTGCAAACAGAATACAGCATAGATCTTGTGCAGTATTAATACCCATTGCTTCCCAGTGTTTTTTCCTCTTCTTCTAAAATTTAACCAAAGGGAGAACATTAAATCCTCATTTATCACTGATTTTTCATTAGTGTCAACAAAGCAGTTGTACCCAAAATATTTCATAGGTTTGATAAATGAAGACTCAGAGACAACATTTGGCCATGATTTGCCTAATAACTAAAGAGTTTTCCAGATTCCAAATTTTGAGCACCTTCTGTGACTTATTTTATATTTTTCATATCAATATTGATAGTAGTTTCACCCAGGAGAAAAGTTTAATAAAAAGCGAGCAGAGATCTTTGAAGATTCTCGCATTTGCAGTGATGAGAGTATTTAGTAGTGGGATGGGGGAAGGTACAGTATTTGTACACTAGAGGTGTTTTTTAAAGAGGTGGAGGAGGGGGGGGCAGATGGGAGCAAGCAAATGAAAGACTTCTACAGGCAAAACTGGAAAAACAAATGACATCATGCAGATGACCAGTTTGGGTGAGTTATTGAGAAGGATTTGCAGACATCACTTTTGGATGAGAGAAACTCCATTATGCGCGTGACAGATCTGTTTAATTCATGACAGTGTCATGTCCACTAGGCAAGGTGTGGTCACAGACTGGACAGGATGGGTGCTATGTTTAACACGCACAGAAGTTCAGGAGCTTTGGCTGAATACCATGGGTGCAGTCATGATTTCTTGTGATCATGCAAAAAGTCCATTTGTGGTCTTGTTTACTGTATAAGGAAAAATTCTGTATTTTGAAGAGTTGTTATCTTTTGAAAATGGGATCTCACAATTTAGGCCAATAAAGAAAAAATAGGTTAAAGCCAGCCTAATTCAAAAGCCCTATTTTTAGTAACAAATATGATAAAGATAATGTTTATTTGGATGGAAGCGCATTTTATATATGACCTGCATGTGAGGTGTTAGATCTGTAAATATAGTCAAAAGCAACAGATAACAATCCCAAAATAGACACAGTGCTGAATGGAATTGTAAATACTACTCTGACCCTTTCTTAACCTTTGTAGTAATTTTTTGTACAGATGGAATAAATTTGTTTAAGTGATCAACTGAAATTATATGAGAGAGAGAGCATGTAAGCTTAGGGCGCATTCCCGTAGATTTTAGATCGATCTATCCCCGTGGGGAGTCTCACTAGATTACTGTCAGATAATCCGGCCTAAATGTCCGTCCCGCCTACTACAAGCTGTAAGGGGGTAATTAACTTCCGTGCGTGGTCGGCTGAATGCAATTTAGCGTGAACCCCCAGGGAGTTAAGTTGATCTAGTAAGATCGATCTAAATCTCTGGGAATGCCCTCTTAGTCTATAATAGGGTGCATTCAGAACAAATTGGTCCATGGACTAACAGGTCTACAGATCAAATATGGCCGACCCACTTGAAAGCTTGCTGCATAATCATCCAATAGACATTGAATAAATTCCCGTGGGGATAGTTTCGAGTGAGTCGGTCATATTTGATCTGCTGATCTGTTAGGCTCTGTTCTCACAACTTTTAGATCGATCTATCACCGCGGGGAGTCTCACTAGATTACTGTCAGATTATCCGCCTTAAGTGTCCGTCCCCGCCTACAACAAGCTATAAGGGGTAATNCTGTTTATTAGATCTTAGGATGGAAGCACATTTTATATATGACCTGCATGTGAGGTGTTAGGTCTGTAAATATAGTCAAAAGCAACAGATAACAATCCCAAAATAGACACAGTGCTGAATGGAATTGCAAATACTCCTCTGACCCTTTCTTCACCTTTGTAGTAATTTTTTGTATAGATGGAATAAATTTGATTAAGTGATTAACTGAAATTATATGAGAGAGAGAGAGAGCATGTAAGCTTAGGGCGCATTCCCGTAGATTTTAGATCGATCTATCCCCGTGGGGAATCTCACTAGATTACTGTCAGATAATCCGGCTTAAATGTACGTCCCGCCTACTACAAGCTGTAAGGGGGTAATTAACTTCCGTGCGCGGTCGGCTGACTGCAATTAAGCGTGAACCCCTAGGGAGTTAAGTCAATCTAGTAAGATCGATCTAAATCTCTGGGAATGCCCTCTTAGTCTATAATAGGGGGTATTCAGAATACGTTGGTCCAGGGACTAACAGGTCTGCAGATCAAATATGGCTGACCCACTTGAAAGCTTGCTGCATAATCCTCCAGAAGACATTGAATATATTCCCGTAGGGATAGTTTCAAGTGAGTCGGTCATATTTGATCTGCAGATCTGTTAGTCCACAGATGAACTTTCAAATTGGTTGTTAACATGGCCATACAATATTGTTAATGAAAAATTAATAACACAGATTGTAGATATATTTAACCTTGTTTCTATCATAGACATTTATCATGACTGAAGCTATTTAATATCTACAAGTTGAAAGCTGACTTTGATTTAACAGGATGACCTGATACACTTGCTGTTCAACCCTAACATTAAGAAACATTATCGTTTAAGTAACATGGGACCACAGCCTTAATGAGTGTACTGGGCATCATAATCTACCTGGGATAGTGGTCTTCACGTACCACTTAAAGTTGTTCTGAGGCAGGATTAATAGGAGTTGATTGTTAAGAGCTGAGTGGTTTACATGAAGAAGATGATGTTCAAGTTGTTCTTTTTGGCATTAGATGGGTATGATTTTAAACATCCTTATAGATGGTCAGAGATTGGTCAAGCTAAGCCTTTTGCTGCCCCTCCCCCCCCCCCACCCACCCCATGCACAGATATTTAATAAAAGTGTCATCTTTTTCCTTGAAGGTTGAAAATTTCAAAATTTGAAATCTTGATTTAGCAGTCTGTAACACATTAAGTCCAATAAAAGGAAAACAACTTTTTTGTATAATTTTTTTCTTGCTTTTTCTGATAAATCTTAGACCCATCAACCAAGTATAATGATAAATATAGCCAGAACTTAATCAACCATTAGTTACTTCAATCAGTTCACTAGAAAAATTTGAAATTAGAAAATTGGTTTTCAGCCACTTTAATAAGTTATAAAAAGAAAAAATAATCTTAATATTCTTGGTGAAAACATATCGGTACATTTTGGCCATTGGTGAACTCCTTGTATCCTGTCATTAGCCTGGGTTCAGTTGGGTCAGTCTGTGGCTTGTGGTCAAGTGAGACACATGGTCCGGTGAACAGGGGGTCAGTGTGCTTCTAGTGACCACGGACGGAAGGTTGTAAGGTAAGGAAGAGAAAGGGTCATTGGACATTTCTATTTAGACTAAGTTGTGTGATTTACAAATAGATTTCCTTGAGTGAATTTTAATAGGCTTCAGGTAGAGATGTATGTGATTCTTATCGTTTTATCAAGTCATTTTTGGGGGTTTAATGGAGACCCTCCATTTCATTTACAAATACTGTTTATCTAGTCGGTTAGTACAGTTTGAATTTACAGAGGGTGGGTGCTTGATTTTAAACCTACTGTTCCATCTCCACTCTTCACTTGTTCTTTTCCATTCTCTCTTTCCACAGCCAACTTTCTTTTCTTTTCTTTTCATTCTTTCCATCTCCTGAACTCTTCTCCTCTTTCTGATAACCTGTTTTCTCCACCCGTCTTTAGGCCCCACCACGCCTGTTTGTTTGCCATGCTTATTAAGCTAATCTCTGGGCTTAGGGTAATCTCTGGGGATACAGTATCAATGACAGTATGAGGCTCACATCTGTTTGTTGCCATATATTACAGCATTAGAGTATTAGTTGACAAATTCCAGTTGTGGCCAGATTGGGCATTGGTCAGTTGTATTAAGATAGAGAAATGACAATATAGAAATGATTAAGTGATATTGAAATGATTGAGTTGCAATCATAGGTCCAGGGGTATTTGTGTTTGATCTT